GGACACTCTTGTGGGACACTCTTGTGGGTCACTCTTGTAGGAAACTATTGTGGGACACTCTTACGGGACCCTCTTGTGAGACACTCTTGTGGGACACTCTTGTGGGACACTCTTGTAGGACACTGTTGCGGGACACTCTTGTGGGTCACTCTTGTAGGAAACTATTGTGGGACACTCTTACGGGACAGTCTTGTGGGACACTCTTGCAGGACAATCTTGTGGGACACTCTTGCGGGACACTGTTGCGGGACACTCTTGTGGGACACTCCTGTGGGACACTCATTTGGGACACTCTTGCGGGACACTCTTGTGGGACACTCTTCTAGGCCCTCTTGGGGGACACTCTTGTCAGACACTCTTAACTCTTGTCAGACACTCTTGTGGGACATGGTTGCGGGACACTCTTGTGGGGCACTCTTGTGAGACACTCTTACGGGACACTCTTGCAGGACACTCTTGTGGGACACTCTTGTAGGACACTCTTGTGGGACACTCCTGTAGGGCACACTCTTCGTACGAGACTTCCTCCAAAAGTCACGCTGCGAGGCTGCAAGACGAGCGTTTCGTACGAGACTTCCTCCAAAAGTCACGCGCCAAGTCTCAAAAACGAGCGTTTCGTACGAGACTTCCTCCAAAAGTTACACGTCAAGTCTCCAAAACGAGCGTTTCGTACGAGACTTCCTCCAAAAGTCACATGTCAAGTCCCCAAAACGAGCGTTTTGTACGAGACTTCCTCAAAAACTCACACGTCAAAGTCTGCAAAACGAACGTTTCGCACGAGACTTCCTCCAAAAGTCCAGCGGAAACACCCATCGGAGCACACACATCACGCAGCCCTGCCAAGCAGTTTCGCGATTCCAGCCCCTCCAAACGACACCCGCTCACACGCCAATCCCAATGTGACAGCGACATTCACCTCTACCACAACCCACAACCTCCCGATTCCCTGCGCCTGCCACGAATCTTTCCGCGTCCACATGTCTAACGCGCACAAAGTACTGCGCCTGCCACGGAATGTCACCTCCGACACATCGCAACCTCACGATTCCCTGCGCCTGCCACGAAAATCCCACTTCCACACCTCAAAACCCGCACAAAGTCCTGCGCCTGCCACGAAAAGTAACAATGTCATCTCATGTGAGCTTCAACAAAATTTGCACCACACCACACGTTTGGAATGATTTCGACCCGTTCTGAGCACACTCCCATCCACCAAAATCGGCATTTCAGCTGAGACTTGTCACGAAAACAGAGCTTTGATGCCACACCCTGAAACGCAAATCCCAATGGCACGGCCACATCCAACACCCCAAAAACACGACTCTCCAAACGCTAATCCCAATGGAACTGCGCAGCAATCTGCAGATCTCACCAAACGCTGCGCCTGTGCAGCGAAACGCATCACGTTGCTTGCGCGACATGTCTTTCTCATGCAAATCACAATGGAATAGCGGCGCAAACTGACACGGGACACATCCATGAAAAGTCACTTGCAAAAGCTTCCCCCAATGGCAGCGCCTTAGCGACCTACTGCGGACGGTTGCGGACTCTACCCCCAGACCCCCAGAGTTAAACGAGAACCCTTCGCTACGCATTCGGGAACATGATTGGGAAGTAACTTGCAAATCTGCAGCAGTCCAGTCTAAGCCATCAACAAAAACACAGAAACCCTATCACGCTGCAATCGTTTACGACAAAAAGGGCAGAACTGTCTGCAACGCTTTCAAGCGAACATCTGATATCCTCCCCTCCACAACATCCTCAGAATTGAACCCCCAAGGCGCGTAGTGGTAGTGTTGGTCAAAACATGTCAAACATGGCCCCGAACGATGTTGAAGGGGATTTGCATGATGTCCCTACCCCTACCGAATCCAAACAAATCACATCTGGCTTCCGAACAGAACGTTCTTCACTCTTTGACTTTCCGACACCCCGGCGACCGGTCGCACGTGGCCCTTCGGCTCGGAAATGAGTCAAACATCACATGGGCCTGCTGAAAGATGTGATGGGCATTCCTTTAGGCAACCGTGGTCAGGGTATCAAAACGGACCGTTCTTGTTGCAGAACGCGCCAACTCGAATTGCAGATTGTTGTGTATATATGGATCAGATTTGTTTTGTGAAGTCACACCATGGCCACACCTTCCTAATGAGTTTTGTTTTGTCGCAACATCAGGTTAGCCGCAGACACTGTGCTAGTGAAACGAATCAGTTCGATGACTTGCAGAATGGCGCGCCCACTCCACCCCGATCCGGACCACTCCCGCCGATCCGCCCATCACGGCAGCTCTGACAGCACGGCGTCAGCTGTCGCAGCGAAGCAGTTTCGTGCAGAACGCTGCGCCCAACTGACAGAAAATGCATTGGCTGTGACAGGTCGAACGTAAAAAACACTTAACCCAAATGCTCCCAAATGGTTATGATCAGAACACCCCAGATCACTGACTATCACACCGGCTGCACTTTTGGCCACGTGGCAATCTCATCCACCCACTCAATCTGCTCCACTTCCACCGTTTTGCGGCTCTTCACCACCTGGCGTAGTGAGGATCCAAATAAGATCCAGGAGTGCCATGGTTTTGGTCAATCGCCCTTGAGGCAAAGGGGCAAAGGCCCAGCAGTGTTGTCCCACAAAATGATGCATGATTCATGATGCAAATTGAGGAAACTTCTTGTCGAATTTGGGATATTGATTTTTGTTTTTTGCTTCAACATAGCAGTTTAACAGCCAATCACTAGGATTTGTTTTGGTTTTAATGCCTCCTGCCAAAAAGAACCAACAAGAGAGAAGATCCAGACCGCGAACAAACTTACCATAAGTCACATGGCCAAACATATGTTACTTGAAATCATGAGAACCAAAATATACATCATGCCTGGCCACAGACTGCAAAATTGAATGTTCACGGCAAACCACTTTTTAATCTTATGCAAATACATTGCACACACCTTGCACATGCACTTTACAGTACGGGCATCACCCATCCAACACATTCACTCACTCACTCACCCACCCACTCAGTCACGCCGAATGTATGACGAAACCCACGTAAGGGGCACCTTTGGCACGGCAATGTGCTTGTGCACGGGGATCTCCACCACCATGTCCTATGTGCGAGCAGGTAAGTTTCCCAAGATATGGAAGGCTGTTAGTCCCAGACCGTCCATGGGACTGGAGCAGCTACAAAAAGTACCCCATGTTTGAACCTAGTGCATCATTATATACCAGCACCCTCCAAGAGGTCACCACCTACGACTTTTGTCAGCAAAAGCGTCCGAAGGAGACCTGTTGGAGGGCGCTGGTATATATATATATTGTATATTATTCCAAGTCCATACGTGGATCGTCTGGGCATACTTATTATTAGGACGCGGACCTCGGCTCCACTGCCATGCCACGGTTGATCCAACGTCGCCGGCGCCTGAAAATCGCCCTTTGTTCTGCCATCGGAAAGAGAGAACTCCTTTGGTCCAGGGATTTTCCTGACTGAGATAGGTTGTTGAAAAAACCTTCTGCTCCTGTTAAACAGCCTCTGCGCATGTTGTGAAGATCGCATATGGTTGATCCAACGAAAGACTGTGTCTGATTCCATGGCTGGACCGCGGCTCCGTATAGCCAAAACCTATCAAGGCATTGCTGTCGAGGACCTTCCTCATTCGTCAGCAGAGTGATCATGCTTCCACGTCGGTCGACGGGTCCTCCACATCCCATTCGACACTCGTGGGGATTGGCTTCAATGTCGCTGAGGGGGCAGCGCAAGCCATTAGGTGGGGCCTACTTTTATTATGCTGCCTCCTAGTGGGTGGTCTATGCTTTGGGAGGCACCTCTCAGAATGCCATGCTGAGTGCCCAAGTTCTGAGAAGGACGAAAGAATTTTAAACAAAAAGACACTCAAGGATTTGGAGAGAACACATGGGTATCCATGGGTATCCAGACCGGGGAGGTTCCTGCCAAATGGCAATGGTTCGCAACACAAAGCATCCGACCGTAGCTCCTCGAAGCAACGATTCCGGTGCTTTGCGATTTTGGCCACAAAAACCACAATATCTCACAGTCAAATCACAGTCCAATTGTAGATCCCCACAAGACAACACACTCACACTGCCAATATATGTCAGCTATAATCTCTCAGATTGGAACACCCTTCTTGGAAAAGACACTTACTTCTCACAATGGTGTTTGCAAACTGTACAGATGAGAATTCGCTGCCCAGTGGTTAGAATCTTGCAGCACATGCACGAAGCACAAATCACCGTCCGGACTTCAACTCTGAATGTTCAAGGCCTTGGTTGACCTACGTGGAAGGTCATAGTGGACTGGTCTGGCTCCAGGTTTTGACCCACAGCCATATGGGATGGGCTGTGGGGATGTTCAACCTCTCTGTCTGTGGCGCAGCCAGAGGCTCAACTGGAGCCTTTCTATAAAGCACTCTTGCTTTGGCCGGATTTGACCCAGTCGGAAGAGGATTACGCTCTAAAGCTCCATCATTCATTCAATGAACTGATGGATGAGTCCCTACTAATTGAGGGTATACAATGCAGACCATGTGAGGCAATGTGAAGACGTGAACGCATGGTGTTTTCTGTTCGTCACTTGCAGCCAGTTAAAACCATTTGGCGGACACCAAGGTATACTGTAGCTGCTCTTTTCGGTAGCCATTTGGTAGTCACTCTGAGCTATCCTGTTGTACAGCTCTTCAAAGTGACTGAGGAGCGACTTTCAGTGGCTGTCCAGTGGCAGGTGGCTATTAAGTGGCTGGGTCTTCCCAGTCCCAACCTAGAAACACATGCCAGGAGTCACAAGACCGGGTGGTGTTTAGTCCCATCCAGTGAGTGGATGTTCTGGGCACCCTTAACCTCCATGGATTGCACCCCGTCGAACGTGACTGCTGGTGGTGTTTCAAATGCGGTTGGCTTGAGATCCTTTACATAAGACAATCCAATCCAATGGGTGTGCTGGCTGGAGATCCCAACCTAAGTAGTGGAGTAGTTGAGCCAGCACACCCAGTCACAGGATGGTCCTGGTAGGATGGTCGGCTGGGCTGCAGAGTTTCATCCAGAATCTGGAAGTGCTTGGGACTGGGTGGCATTCGGTGGCTGTCAAGTGGGCTTCTCGAAAATTGAACATCGCCACCTCAACCCAAACACTCCATGTATGGTGTATATACCAGGACCCTCCGGACTTGGGGTGTCTATTGATAGCCCCTGAACGCTGTGATTCGGGGTGTCCATGAATCACCCCTTGGGGGTCCTGGTATATATATATATATACCTAGAACCCATTTGACCTCTGTTTTGATAGGAAAAGACAATCTTTTGGGTGGTTTGTGGTCCAAAATAGAGGTCATTCAGGTTCTAGGGATATATATATATATGGCAGTTGGGTCATGTCACCCGGGCTCAGAAAATCCGGTGTAGCTTTTTCTGTCCGGGATGGGACAACTCCAGCGCGTCCCGGTGGCCCAGCTTGCCACTAGCGACCAAGCTTCATTGACCCAAATCAACCACCCCTGCCTGTAGTAATTGCAGAGTCCAGGAGGGCGGTCGCCCAAAAGCTGAACCAATTTCTTCAGTTGGTGACCTTTTTGTCCGACCGTTTGTGGCCTGTTACAGGTCGAACGACCTCAAAGCAACCAAGAGATCAAGGACGGTCACGAACTGAAGAACCAGGTCCCGAGCTAAAAGATAATCGTGTAAAGAGAGAGATCTCTGGTAAACAGAGATACGGGACGAACGGTGTACAAATTAAGTACCCTATAAGAATCCGGGCCCTCAAACACATAGGTTTTGGTTCGGGCCCGGACCCCTGCTATGGAGAACCCGTAAAGAGATCTCTGGTGAACGAACTCCACCGGTTCATCGTGGGCTGATCTGCAGGTTCCATCCACTTTTCCTCGATAGCAGTAGCTGCCCAGGGGCACTCACTCGCGACCCGGGACTTGAACCTATGGTTCGGGGTCCGTGGTCGAACCAATCCCCTGGGAGTCAAAGACTATCAAAAGAATTGTCTACTTTAGGTGACCCGAAAAGCAATATGCTTTACTTCAGTGGGGCAAAATATAGTCTTTGGACTTCTAGGGAATCTGTAAGGTTAAGAAAAGAAACTATTGGTGTGTTTGGAGCGTCTGCCCAGGGCCACTCCTCGCCCGACCACGGGATCTTTGGCATTTTGGGGGGCGGGCGCCAAAAGCCCCCTCGCCCAACCACCTTTTAGCGGCAAATAGAACGAAATGATGCAGCCCCTCCCCACTGCCGTTTTCTGTGGGTGCTGATGGCGGCTTCGTATTCCGAGTTCCGTTGACCTGGCTTGGTAATCTCAAATCCTCAGTAAAACAGGTTCTAAAATTCAAAACAAATTATACCTGGACCCTCGAAGGGGTGCCCAATGGAAGCCTATAGGTAGTGTGGGGTAGTCCATTGGACACCCCTTGGAGGGTCCAGGTATAGTATACAAGTTATATACACCCCCCGGCCCCACGCATATTCAAATCAATGATGGGCCGGGCCAGCACATCATCTCAATTCATGAGCGACACGGTGCAATTCTTCTTCGCGCGCGTCAGTCCGACGCGAAAAACGACGCGACCGACCCACGTCGTCGTCTTCCGCCGGTGGCTCCTGGTAAACGATCTCAGGCACCTTGGCGGTCGCGTTCGGCGTCCGAGCGATTGGGTGGCCCGCGTCCGACGGTGGACGGACTGGCGTAACGGGAAAGGCTTGGGACTGGCGTAAAGGGACTGGCAGATTTAGAGACATACCTGGGGCCCCACAAAGCATGAAAAACTTGGCTCTCCCTAGCAAAAAAAATGGATGTCCCTGGTAGATTGGATTACATTAGGGTGGTTGAAGTTGGGCTCAATGTAGGCATATATACCAGTCCCAAACAGGTCGTGTCTGGGATTAGCCGCTGAAAAATTAGCCAGACATTGGTGGTTGACCTGGGGTCAATGTACCTGGACCAGATTGATCCAGTAGAGAAAATGGGACATGACCCGAACACACAAAGCAGGTATACAAGACCTTCCATTATTTTTGAGGTACGAACTAAGACTCCAGGTATACATGTCCTCACTAATATCTTGTTCCAAACAACATGTTGGTGCAACATGTGTATTTTTTTTCATCTATAACGCCAGTATGGCAGACATTTTGCATACCAGGGGGCCCACAAACCATCAACAACCTGGTTTTTGTATGTGAATTCCTTTTTTTTCATGGTTTGGTTCGGGCCCCTGGTAGTTGGAAGATCCAAACATTCTGCCGCCCGATCGATAGGTGACATCAACCACCCCTGGACGTTGCCAGGACCTGCCAGTCCCAAACCGATGGTTTTTGGGTGAAGAGAGATGCGGATGAGGAGTGGTTGACCATGGCCCTCGAGCTTTAAGAATCCTGTGTACCCTCCGCAGGGGTTGACCATGGCCCTCGACATCGGAGGTGGAAGACGCCCGGAGATCAACAGGGAGGAGGCTTTTTGGGAGCGCACTGCTGAGGCGTTGGATCGCTTGGAAAAACCATCCACATGATTATGATGATCCCACAGGCAGCTTCCTGGCACAACGACATGTTTTCTTCTGTGCCTTTCAGTGCCCCATGAGGCCTCTTGAGGTCTGCTACCCGAAACACTCCTGGTCGGTCCGACCGTGAGGGGGCTGCGAGCATCTGCTACCCAAACCACACTCCCAGGCAACAATCATGGAAGTAGACAGTTGTCATCAATTGGCCCACTGTTTCCAGACCATGAAATCCGAATACCAAACAGAGGGTACAACTGAGGGTTGTCCACTGAGGGTACCACATCTCTTACAGCCTCCTTTTGGGAAAGTTGGAAAGTGGAAGAGCCCCCCATACCCAGACACTCCATGGGACTGCTATATGCCTACATTGACCCCCAAAACCACCCCAACTGATCGGCATATATGGCAGTCCCATGGAGTGTCTGGGATATGTTTCGAGCGAGGGGGGGAATCCCGTTTACCAATCAGGATCCTGCATTATGGCCCTCACCCTCACCTCTTCGCAGGGGTGTGGACCCAGTTCCCAAAACCTAAAAGCATTGGATCCGGATTCTGAGGGGAGTATGCAAGAAAAAGTATTGATAATACCACTGCAATACCCTTCAGCCTATAGCCTTCGATTCCGTGACCATCAACACAAATATAGAAAAGACCTGGTTTTGCAGTGGAGAATCCTTAGATATCCGTTGTTTTCGGAATTCAGCCTATTGAATGGTGGGCCAGGAATCCTGGGAACGACACCCAACAGCCACTTGTATCTTTCTTTGTCGTCCGCCTTCGGCTGGCGATGAACGACATGGCAATTCCTACCACTCAACTATCCTAGGGCTCCAGTCGTACCTTCTAAGAAGGTGGGACTTGGGTGGGTCTAGAAGGTCGAGTCATACCTTCGTTTCGTTTCGGTACGACTGGAGCCGATCTACTCACCTCGAACCCAAGGGGTCGCTGCTCCCAAGTCCATCGTTCACATCCCCACGTTTCAGTGCCATCAACTCCTTCCCCGTCTTCCCCCGGCCTCCACCGTCTTCTGAACGACCTGCGGTTTCGCTGCATCGGCGGTCGTGGCACCTGGAACCCCAGGGCCTCTGGTGGGTTGGCCTCCCAGTAGTCCATTCGGTTAAGAGGGAGGTCAACCTACCAAAGGCCCCCCATGGACTGTCATAAGAGGACTACTGAGAGGGCAACCTACTGGGACGGACCTACTGGGCAACCAGTAGTTAAAATGGTTCATTTTGGGACTGGCATTCAGTTCGGCCCCATTGAGCCCGACTTCCACCAGCCAGATCAGGTATGGTTCTCTAGATCGGGGTGTGGGGTTTCCGGGACCACGCGTCTGGGTAGGTCTATTCCCTTTTCGGTTGAAGGACAGGCTTCCCGATCAAACCAAGCAACCAAACAAATGCAAAAGGAAATTTGATCTCCGCAGAATGCGATGTCACACGATGCCAAACATCCAGACGCTCTGTGAAAACCGGATTTGACCCAAACAGATCCATATGAGGGTCCGACCCCTCCATATGAGGGTCCACGATATGAGCGCCTGGGTTGGCATATTATCCCTATAGGCTTCATCGATTACCAATTAAATAGCCTTCCCGGAAAGCATGTTTTTTGCAAAACGAGGACTATCTTCTTGCCGGCTATTCCTTGCCTCCAACCAAGCTCAAGAACCGTAAACAAACCGTAGAAGAAACATGTTTTGGCGTAGAACGCCCGTTTTTTTGCCGTGGAAGAGTCTTCAGAGGCATGGAACCTGGCCTCACACAGCATATATGAACAACCCGATCACGGGTCAATCGAGAGGAAGTGGATTTCACACAAAAAACACTTTTCCCAGACGTTCCTGGACCATCATATGCAGGGGTCGGACCCTCACATGGAGGGGTCTACCCTCAAATCCCTATGGTTTTGGGGGACCAAGGGCTGTTTGGAGCGTCTTAAGGTTCCGCAAAAAACCGTTCATGCAACAACACACGTTATAAAAACATACCCTCCAAATCAAAGGCCTCGTTTTACTGGGCTCTATTTCTGCAAAACTGATAGCAAAATTCGACCTCCAAAAATTTTTCGTGGAAATGGTGGAAAGCCCGACTTTACTCCGTAAAGGACGTTTTTTACATTGGCAACTATAAGAAGCAAAGGACGTCTTTTACTTAGTGAAAGACGTCTTTTACTTGGCAAATGGTAAAAGTAAAAGACGTCTTTTACTTTATGATACTTTATGCATATATGGAGCACATATACATGGCACGATGTTTGTGAGTCAACATGCTGCACCAATGGTTTTCCAGGAGCGTTTTGGTCTACTTTCCGTTTCGCGCGAACATCGCACAGACAAAATATTTGTGGCAACAAGCGCATGCATATCATATAAGTGGCGCCAGGCGGCTAGATCTTTTTAATATGAAGCGAGGTCGATCCGTTACAACACAGACAACGCATGTGGTTGAAATTGGCCGTTTCTGGCCCGGGCATGGGACCGTGACTCTACCGTGACTCTCGCGTGACTCCCACCTAAACCACTTAGTAAAGGACGTCAAAAACTTCGCCATGGACATCATTGGGCGTGACTCTATAGCATGGGACCTGCAAGCGTCTAATGCGATTTGACGATGAACTGTCATCGGTTTGAACAATGCACGTGTGCAATGGCAAGCAGCAAACATGACTCCCACGTAGCCACGTATATCATGGCAATGTAATTGGTCAATTGAGCAAACAACCTGCGCAAAAAAAATACACCAAGAAAAGATTTGCGCGCGTGGACTTGCGTGAGGCATGGCGCCGCTAAAAGTGAGCGTATGGGTACCATGTCTCCGGTATGCATGCACATATGTATGCGTATAAGGTGTATAAGGACCATCGAACCCAAAAGAATGAACCATGGAAATTACCTTGATGCCCAAAGAAAATTTTGTGGAAGTGGTGATCTTAAGGTGAAGGAGTCTTCCGTGGAAATGGTGACCTGAAAGTTTTTGAAGGTCAAAGAAAATGTGACCTCGGAAAACTGGGTCGTTTACAGCAGGACCTCGTAAAACTGGTCCTTTTGAGGTGGAGGGATACCTTTGAAGCATTAGGTTATGATATCCGCCGACCCCTGCCTAGCTGACGCCTAGGCGGGGCGGCGCCGGGGACACCGCAGGAAACAGTTGGCCAGCCAAGCAGATCCAGATCGTTTCGCCGTGCAGTCGCTGTTTTTTTTGTGCCCAGGCTGGAAACCTTCCGCTGCGACGCTAGATTGCAGGTTTTTGGAACGTGCCAGGCAACTGTTCTATGGGCTTTTCAAGGCAACGTGCCAGGCGAAGTGCCAAGCAACGTTAGGCATTTTGGCTGGCTGCACCCCCCCGTTCCCGCCGCTGTTGTGGGCAGAAATAGATGGTGTCGTTTGCCCGCCGGGAAACCCTCCGTTGCGGCTGCATTCTGCAGAAAGGGAGCCTTGGGAGGGAGCCTCTGGCACGTGCCGCTGCGACACCAGCCCGTTTTGGGCAGTCTACAGAGCAGGGCTGCCTGTAAACTGCAGCCTCGGGAGTCAGCCTCTGGAACCTGCCAGGCAACTGTTCTATGGGCTCCTGAAGGCAACGTGGCTCGTCCCCTTTTGGTGCCCGCCGGAAACCCTGCGCAGACGTTAGGCAGTTATACACTGGCCACACCAGCCTAGAAAGCCTTGGCGACTTTAGGGTTTCGAAAGCAATGTTAGGCACTGGGCACCTCCCTGTTCCAAAGGAGGACGCCGTCTCTCCAAAGGAGGACGCCGTCTCTCCAGAACAGGAACCAGGTCCTTCAAAGCGGCCAGCAATGAAAAATGCTGCGCCAAGAAAAAAGAGAAAAGCAAACGTAAGGGATCTTCCAAGAAGTAGAAAGGGAAGAAACACGATGTCTACTGTTCAGTTAGCTCTTCAACCGATGACCACTCCGATGACCTTGATGACCCTCCCAAAGACAACGATGGTTTCAGAGGACTTGGTGAGGGAAATGTCAGCCAGAACGCTGGACCAGGCTTTGCAACGCTCCGCGGACGCCGAGAGCAAAGCTATCATGGACACATTCTTTGAGGCTGGGGTCACTGGGGTCTTTGTGGGTCGCTGCAATGTGTTTCTTTCTGCTGCATGTTGTCGTGAGAACAAACAGTCAATCTTTTGACATCTTATGACCCATGGCAGTGGAATGTCGACTTCATGAAGGACCTGGCTGAGGAATGCGTCTATGCCTGGAAGGACTGCTGTCATTGCTAACATGTCATGAGAAATGAGAAATGAGTCACCCAATATTTCCCTGCCATTGACCCACAGTGATGCATGTTTCACACTGACTTCAAGTTTAAGTCCAAGCTCGCGCCACACCTGCGTGTCTTGCAAAGGTGAGCCAGGAAAAAACATCACCGGCTTGACCGGCGGTTGACTGGCTTTGTCAGTCACTGCCCAGAATGCTCGGCACTAGTGCCCTTGGCATGGATCTCGGTGTGGTCCCATCGATTTGCCCTCCAGTCTGGCCACCACCAACTCCATTCATCATCCCTCATCCATTGCGGGTTTGAAGACACTTTGGTGACAGTGGACGTTTCAGAAGTGGATGCGCTCTTAGTCTTGGATGACTCGACTTTCTTCTGCGACCAACGGTCCTCAAAGCTCTTGTATGCTTTTGCGGCCTTTGCATCATTTGCAGGTCCATCCACCGGCCTTTTCTTGGGGGCAGGCCGGTGGCGCACTTGGATTGTCATTGTGCCATCATCAGAATCCTCACCCAGCAGGACTTCTTCCTCTTCTTCAGGCTTTGAAGTCTTCTTGGGGATGTGTGGCTTGTATGGATTTGGCCTCTTCTTGGGCGGGCTGACCTCACTCGCGCTGGAGCTCGTCTTGAGCTGACCTCACTCGTGCCGGTGCTCATGAGCCGCGGTGGAATGACCCTGGGCGTATGGCCAAGATCCACAGCCACAGGACCACCGCCCTTGCCAAGATCCATCATGGATCCACTCTGCTTCTGGCCAAGATGGCCACCCTCCTTCTCGAGGTCCTTCTTGAGGTCCTTCCGAGGAAAGAAGCGAAGGCGGCCGTTGCATCCCTTCCCAAGAGCTGAGCTGAAGACCGATGGACTGGAAGGATCAAGCAGGGGCTCGCTTGAAAAAATGGGCGGCAGCTGCTGTGTGCACATGAGGTCTCAACATTGCCCCACCCTTTCCAAATCTTGAGTTCTGGTTTATTTGGGGCAAAGTTCTGGTTCCAATGGCATTTCCTTTCTGGTTATATAATTCATCTCGCACATTTGTTTCTTCGATAGGGTATGAATCGCGCATTGACTTTGTGTTGCTGCCTGAGCGTTGGAAAGACTTTCAAGTGAACTCCTGTGTCTCTGAAGACATCGATTTGGCCATCTGGAGACACGATCATTTCGCGCCAGTCGTCACCGTCCATATGGAAAGCCAGCAGTCAGGCCAAGCGTTTCACAAACGATGCCGACTTGACCTTCGTAAGATAGGAGACCCTGCCGCGCAGCATAAGTTCCTGTCTCAAGTCCAGCGGTGTCCACCCATTTCATGGCAAGTTGGTGTAGGAGAGCATTTGGATATTGTTACCCGTCATGTTCAGTCCTGCGCTCAGAATGCTTTTGCTGTTGATCGGACCTTGCCGCGGCAGCGGTACATGAGTGATGCTACCTGGCACACAGTCCAAACTCGCAAAACATTGCTTCGTATGCATGATCGTGCTATTAAGTTGCTGACCCGTCAACGTAAGCATTATCATTTTGCCTATTGGCTAGGTCGGTTTGCTGCCATTCGTAAGGAGCCACGTCTTTTCCACATGGCCAGTGCTCGATTAAGTAACAGTACCATGATATCATGCATGCTTCGCAAGCAAGCCTTGTGGGCGTTAGTCACTCGCCGGCGGCTCCATGCCGTCACACAGGCCATGAGCCGACAGGACCGCATTCGAGAAGCGCACCAAATTGGGGAAAGATTTTTGAATGCTGCTCATTCTCAGTCATCCAAAGAAATGTATCGAGCTTTACGCCCACTCATGGGCCAAGTCCATCGTAAAGCCAATATGCAATTTCGGCCGGTCCCTGCCGTGAAGCTCGCATCTGGCGAGCTTGCGCAGACCCACGCGCAAGACCAGGAGCGATGGAGAGCCTTCTTCGCCGCCCCAGAAGAAGGCATTTTGGTGACTTCCTCTCAGCTTCAGACTTTAGCGAAGTTGCAGGCGCTCAGGCATGAGCCTGGTGCGGTGGCTTTTGCTCGTCAAGCATTGCCGATGTTACATGAGATTGAGCAAGTCTTGTTGCGCTCCAAGCCTGGCAAAACGCCCGGCATGGACGGCCTTCCAGGCGAAGTTTTTCGGCTTCACCCGCCCTTTTTTGCCCAATTGTTATGGCCACTTTTAGCTAAATGCAGCGTTCGCTGTACAGAACCTTTGCGATGGCGAGGTGGTGAGATCTGTCCATTGCCTAAATCTCATGTCATTTCGCATCAGGTTGAGCGCTATCGGTCCATTCTTTTGGCTGACGTCACCGCCAAGGTGGCTCATGGAGTTTTGAGGAATAAACTTCTTCCGTACTTCATGCGTTTTCGTGCTAGCATGCAGGCTGGGGGTGTTCCTCGCCTCAGCACAGACATGTTGCAGCTGTTCGTCAGCTCCTTTAGCCGATGGACACGAGATCGCAAATGTTCCAGCAGCACGGTATTTTTGGATGTACAGCAGGCCTTCTACAAGGCCCTCCGTCCGTTGCTTCTCCACCAAACCATTAGTGATTCCTGTGTTGTGCGCCTGTTCCATGACAATCATTGGAACCCCGAGCTGCTGCAAGACTTCCGGCAGTTCCTTGATGGTTGCCCTGCGTTGAGTCAAGCCAATGTTCCTGAACACCTCCAGGCACAGCTCCACGCTGTGCTTTCGACAACGTGGTTCAAACTTCGGAATGACGATAGCAGTCTCACAGCGACCTTGACCGGCACCAGGCCAGGTGACTCCCTGGCTGACTTGCTTTATGGTTTTTTGATGGGACGCTTCATTCGTGAACTTGAGGCACGGTTGACCGCTGCTGATCTCTGTGCTAAGGTGCCCTTGCACTGGTTGCCGGGAGCATCGTTGTCTGGTGATGACCATCATGTTTCATTGGTGCAGGTTACATGGGTTGACGACATTTCGCTAGTCCTTGAGGCCCAATCGCCCAATAGCTTATTGACCAAGGTTCGCCTGGCATTGAGCATTTCGTTGAGAGGACCCCACAGCCAGACTGTCTGGCGTTCTTTACTTGCGCAGGATGGAGGTCTACCGTCTGTCGCGTTCCATTGCCCTGTCCTTTTGCAACCTGCCTGTGTTTCCATTTTGCCGGATTACGTTCATCTAGGAACCTTGCAAGATCAAAGTGGCACCCCCGCTGCCGAGGTGAAAAGGCGCATGCAACTTGTTCGCCCTGCCATGCGTATGTTGCAGCGTGGCATTTTTCGGTCCAATCGCATGCCGGCCAAGACTCGCCTCACCTTGTTCCGCTCACTTGTCTTATCTAAGCTCACGTACGGAGCCGGAGGCTGGTCTGAGATGCATCTCCATACCCTGCGTTCGTGGCATACTGGCATGATGCGCCTGTTGAGCGCTGTTGCTCCCACTGCCCGCCGGGGGCCCGGTACTCGCACCCTTGACGTACTGGCTGATTGCAACACCATACCACCTTTGATGCATTTGATGCAACACCGTCTGAGCTTGTTTGATCGGCTTATGCTGACTGACACCTTTGATGAGCTGTTTGCACTCCTCCAGCAGCAGCCCGCTGACTCTGGCTGGTTTGCTCAGGTGAAGTCTGACCTTCGTAGGCTGGTATGCTTGCACCCCCATGCTGACATAGCAAAGGTGGTGGATCAGGGTGACTATGCGCTGGCAAGTCATAGCTCCAGTCACCCCAAGGTTCTCACAAAGTTTTTCAAGCAAGCCTGTTCGATTTATGCCCTTTATTTGGGATTGTGGCAAGATCTGCGATCATTTCAGCGGCACTTTCGCCAAGACGTTGAGGCATTAGGTGGACGTTTTGCCCCAGGCTCATTGCCTAGCCATATGCCCGGTCTGTTTGTCTGCCAGGATTGCGAGCGCACATTCGATACTTTTCGTGCCATGTGTTCTCATATGTTCCAGCAGCATAGGTCGGTCAACTTGGCTCAGAGGTACACAGCCTCCAATCACTGCCGAGCGTGTCTTCGTATGTATAATGATCGCGCATCAGTTGTGCACCATTTAAAGTACTACCGCACTGGCTGCCTGTTGAAACTCTTGCTCAGCGTAGCCCCCTTAAATGATGAGGAGTTGACCGCAGTACTTGATGACCATTCGCAACAGTTGCGCACAGCTAGGAGCAAGATGCGTCGCACGCATCACCGATTCCCAGTGTGTTCGGCTCAGGGTCCACTGCGCCCATGGCCGTGGGATTTGGCTTGGCATCAGGCCACGCATGACAAGCGACCAATCGATGTTGAAATCCTTGCACATCTTTCGCCTTGGGTTGAACAACTGTCCGCTTGCCTAGACGAGCTTAACCATGCTAAATTGCTTGAATGTTTGATGCAGCGCCCTTTTCATGGAGCTCTCGTCCAAGCCTTGAGCACAGAACTGTTCCACCATGAGCGTGTCCCGCCAATAGACCAAGTTGAAGCTCGAGCCATGTTTCATGAGGCCGTGGTTTTGTGGCAGTCCTCTTCATTGTTAGATGGACCTTTCCGATGTTGGAAAATTTCCTTTGACACCGTGCGTCCGCAGCTGACGTCGCTGCGACCCACCATGTTGACTCAAGAAAACACCACTGCTACCTTGCACGGTAGACGGCGCATGGCCGTCGACGCATTGTGGCAAGAGACTGATGTTTCATTCCAAATGGGTTTGCTGGTGCAGGAAGAGTCCGCTGGCACTTGGAGTTGGCCTACCACAGTTCCTCGCCCGTTGTCTGAGTTGGCAATTTTTCTTTATGTGTTTTCAGGCAGGAGGCGGGAGGGGGATTACCAAAGCCATGTTGAACGTTTGCTGCGCGTCCATGGAGTATCTGGCCGGGTACTCATGATAGACTTGGCACTTTCGGCTAGCCACAATGTTTATGATTCAGCTTTGGTAGAGACACTATTGCACTGGATTCATGCTGGGGCCGTGGCCACGCTACTTGTGGCTCCACCGTGCGAAACCTGGTCAGAGGCCAGGAATCAGACTGGGGGCCCCAGACCTCTGCGTACCCGTGCAGCACCCTTTGCCATAGCAGGACTGACGCATAAAGAACTGGAGCAGCTTCAGGTGTCTAACTTTTTGTTGTTTGTGGCAGTTCGATTATTTTTGTGGGCCGTCATGTGCGGCTTGCCGGGAGTCATGGAGCACCCCCGGCAGCCACGAAAGTCTGACAGATGCAGTATTTGGACGCTGCCTTGGCTGCAGGGGCTCGTGCAGCACGACCAGGTGCGCCTCGAGCTCATCTGGCAAGCAGCTTTTGGCGCAGTGGCAGCTAAGCCAACTCATCTGCTGGTATCACATATGCCGCTGTTTCGTCATCATATCCGAGCACTGCAGCAGCCGATACGTTGGCAAGAGCTAGAGATCTTACAAGGGCGTGATTCCTCCGGAGCTTGGCGCACTGCCAAGGCCAAAGAATACCCCTCCAAACTCAATGAAGCCTTGGCGTTGGCCCAAGTCTTGAGTGTGAAAACTTCGGCTCGCCCTCGGTTGCAGATGTCCGATGAAGATGCAGCAGCGATCAGCACCATGTATGAAGCTTTGGCGCGATACGATGAGGAGACGACTATGCAGCCGGATTTTATGGGTCACGCCGCTCCACGATGATGCTGACCCAGTTGGAGAAGTTGAATTTGTTTGTGCGTGTGTTTCACGAAGCTCGCGAGATGTCTCACAGAGAGCTAGCCAAAGTCAAAAAAAAAAGTATATAATTCATTTTTGCTCCAGCAAAAGGAACATCTCAGGAAGCGTAACCGCTACCTGTCGTGACATGTTCTGTTTAAACCTCACCACCTTCAAGTTGGAACGATCGAACGCTTTCACTGCAGGTCCTTCCTAAAAAAAGGGGGTCGGCGGCACCAGGGCGAAGCCCTTACAATTTTTGCTGTGCTGGTTTGCCCTGTACTACACCAATACTGCACCCCCACAAATGGCAACCCTAGCTTGTATTTGCCTAAGGAACCACGTGAAAGAACACGGTTTGGTTCGGGGAGCACAACCGAACCAAGAGAGGCTAGGTCGTGACCTGAAAAGGGACCCTGCTACCAGGACCGAGGTGTCGAAAAATAGCCTCTAGAGGTGAGTCCGGGAGTGTTCCAAAACCGGTTTCGGTGCAAAAAAGCCCTGCCCGGGCCCGATCCGGGATTCACATACCCTCCTTTCTAGGGTCATTAGTTGGCATGTCCCATTTTCTAGGGTACTTGAAGCCTGGTCCAGGTACCAGCATCAGATCCAGCATCACCTTGTGGGTCCTTTCCCGCCTGTGGGACAGCCACGTGGCGTTGCTTTTGAATGGGCACCTGTACCTGGTCGCTGTCGCATCGTGCGGGTCTGCGGCAAAAATGCTGTCTGCAACAGCACATCACGGAGGTGGTGACGGGCGGTTGGATCCAAACGACGCCCTGATCAGAAGTCTGACCTATCTCAGGAAGTATCCCTACTATAGTAATAAGGACGCTATGCTCGGTGCATCGCAAGTAGGTTGGAGGCCATCGCTACGAACGGAACAAGAAGCTATATTAGTAGCTTCCCCTGTTTTGACAGTCCGTAGCCTGACCACTAGAGCCTCCCAAACTGGAGGGTTTGGGCAGGGGCTTTAGACTCGAAACAAACCTTCACCGGTTGAGGGTACCATGATTCGAACAGGGACTAGCTGTGCACACTCCATGGAATATGCCCACATTGACCCCAGAAACCGCTCCTGGCCGTTTCTCGGTCTGTCTGAGGCGGGCGAAGGACACGACACCAGTCCCAAAACCCTTTGGGCGATGCCGTTTCAAGATGCTACCAGCAGTCACGTGTATACGGGTGCTATGGAGGTTCAGGGTGCCCCAAACGTCACATCCGGCAACGAACCCAACCACCCAGGCCCTCCATGTGACTGATGAGGTCTCTATAGGTTTCTAGATGCCCCCTTCTTCTTCAACGCCTGGTAGAAACTGCTTGGGGATGGAGTCCGGACCTGGGGCCCCACACGGCCCACCCAAAAACCTGGTTGTCCCTAGCAAAAAGCAAGGTTTTTGTGCAAACCTTTGTTTTTTCATGGGACATTGGTGACCAGGCCCCTGGGATGGAGTCCGGAACTGGTTGAAAAAGAAAACACACGTCCCACACACCTTGGTCCTTCGACCTCCCCCGTCGCGGAGAGGTCATCTCCTCTCTCCCGGAGGCGATGGCCGGCGATGGCTTCGATCCGGTCGACCCGGTCGCGATGTGGGTTCTCTTCATATCTCGATTCCGAGCTCCTGGCCTGCCTCCGTTTCGGTTCGCCAGTGGTGGGTGCCAGGGGGGTCCAAACTACCACCTTTGATGGTCCAGGAGCCCTGCTCGGTCTAGTCGAGACTTCGCATCTGAACGCATCATCCAACTTTGTTCCAACCGTCGGACCATTTTTGTCGTCGCGGGCGGCGGAACAACAAAAAACAACACATAAAAAAACGTCATCCCGACCGCACCAACGAATCGACTCGAGACTCAGTGCGCACGGGATGATCCTCGTAGTCGATCTTGGGCACCTGGATGGCGGTCACGGGATGACCCGGTATTAGTGTGGTTGATCATGGCCCAAGACCCGGTATTAGTGTCCACATGTGTCAACAGAACACATGTTGCTGGCTGGGATGCTTTTTGGAACTTCATGCTGCACATCGGTGACCGTCGCCACTGTGATCCTGTGATGAACTGGGGGGACCATGTGAGCGACCGATGCTGATGCACCCCAGTGGCGATGAAGATTGGATAAGAGTAACAGTTGTACCCATGGATGAACACTCAGAACATTGAGTTTTGAGGGTTTGAGAAACAGTACCTGAAGTCTCCAGTTAGTGCCCCAGAAGATGGTGACCATGACTCATGATGACTCATGAACCCATGTAAATTAGACTAGCAGGTAAATGGACCCGACGCACCCAGTAGCCTAGAATATCGGAGGTACAACTGTACTCATTGTCCGAGGTGCTTTCACAGGTCAACTTCAGGTACGACTGGTGCCCCATGTTCATCCCCTCTTGACTCCTTCTGGAGCCGCAAGCTCCTTCTGTCCGCGCCGGCACCGCGGCCTCCACCACTTTCTGCACTTTCTGGACCTGCCGTGCGGCATGAAATACATGGCCCTTGTGAATCTGAATCGCTCAAAGATCATGAACCAAATCAGGCCCTATAGGGATCCACATACCCTCTGAGAAGGTGATATGTTCGACACTGTTGTGTGGGTGCCAGGAGGCTCCAGTCGTACTGAACCTGAGGTTCGGTACGATCGGAGGCGTACTTCCAACCCTGCCGATTCCCCTGCCGCAGCACCAAACGGCACCGACGCCGCCGGTGCGGATTCGATGCCGGAAACCCGGACGGAAGACCCGGTGGAACACGTTGGTCTCCAACTTCTCGACGCGTCGCCATAAATGCAGCGGTTCGGTGAATTACCCACCTGCAGCGGTTCTTCAGCTTGGACCACCCGCCTGACTAGGACTAGATAGCTCTGAATTCTTGACATATTTCCTCACAATCCTAGCCAAAAACCATCGGAAAACTAGGAAACGTCAAAGTCACCCCCTTCGTAGCAGATTAGTAATTTTGGACCGTTGATGAATAAAACCACCTGGTACTGAGATGTCAAGCCATTCTTGGGGGGTTGGGTCTGCTCAAGAAGTGTCCAAATCATTCCAAACGTGCGGTGTGTCTGTTGCTGAAGAGATGAAGATGTCATGTCGTCACATTTTCGTGGCAGGTGCAGTACTTGCAGCACTCGCAGCACTCGCAGTGCGTGTTGGAGGCGTCGAGTTGAATCTTCGTGGCAGGCGCAGGGAGTTGTGAGGTTGCGACGTTTGGTAGAGGTGAATGTCGCTGTGACAGTGGGATTGGGTGTGTCCGGGGGTCTGGTTTTTAGGGTCTGGATGGGCGAAACTGCTTGGCAGGGCTGCTTGATGTGTTCGCTCTGATGAGACTTCCGCTTCACTTTTGAAGGACGTCTTACATGAAACTCTCGTTTTAGAGACTTTGACATGTGAATTTGGAAGGATGTCTCGGAGACTTTGGAGGAAGCAAGAGTGTCCCACAAGAGTGTCCCGCAAGACTGAGTGTCCCACAAGAGTGGGCCTTTATGGCTCGAAAGACACTGATCCGGTCGAGCAACACCACTGGTGCTCTAGTGGGACAATCGCGATGACTGTCGGCTTGAGCCCCGGTTCCGAGGAGAAGGGCCGAGAGCCTTAGCCCAAAGCCTATAGTCATCCCAGTCTGGGTAACGTGATTTCTCCACTTCTCCTCTTCAAAGCCGTGGCGCTTCGTGTTACAAAGCCATGCCTTCGCCCTGTTTGCCTTCGCCACCGGAGCCGGCGTTCAAGAGTTCTGCATGGGAAGGGTGCCTAAATCAAAGAGCAGGCGCAAGCCGACCCCCTCCCTGCCCTACATCTCAGATGTGTCCCCTTAGAAAATGCTGAAGAAACGCTTGTGAAGCCACCTTGGCCGTCATTTGCTGCCGGTGCCATGTCCAGACTCAGTGGCACGTCAGTCCTGTGCAGGCCAACAATCCCATACGCGCTTTCTTGGGCTCAGACTTTCAGGGGCCGCATACAAGACAGTCTCCTACAAGAGTGTCAGAGTGTCCTACACTAAGTGTTCCACAAGTGTTGTCCAGACCGGAGCTTTCCACGAGAGCATCACACAAGAGTGTCCCACAAGAGGTTTCCTACTCAAGAGTTTTTCCACAAACGTGTCCCACAAAACAGCGTCTCCTACCTGGACCCTCCAAGGGGTGCCCATAGGTAGTGTGGGGTAGTCCATTGGACACCCCTTGGAGGGTCCTGGTACAAGAGTGCCGCAAGAGTGTTCCACGAGAGCGTCCCACGAGCCACACCTCGTCGAATGCCTTCTCTCGTCAGCTGAACTTTCAATGCCAATCAATGTTTTCGAGCGCGTGCCAAGGGAGGTTGAACAGCCCATCCATCGCCCATCCTATGTACCACAGACCAGGGTCTTAGTTCAGGTCTCTCTGTCTCCTTGCTCGGCCGGCCGTCTCCCTCCGCCCTCCCGGGCGCCCCCCCCCCGGAGGGGCAACACGCGCCCCGCCCCGGCGGCCTGAGGGAGCATCACAGGTTTCCTGAGCTAGGGGTCTGGTCATGGCCAAGTGGAGTGGCGCGACGAACGGCCTTACATACGGAGCGATCGGACGCGACGAACGGGGCGAACCTGGCATCGCAACTAGGAACAAGAAAAGCTAATTACTAGGGATGTATAGGGGCTCTTGGCCAAGTGGAGGTTCAAGTCTCCCGATGCCACACGAAGGCGGGTTCGACAGGGCTACTACCCCAACACTGCACGTCAGGAAAGGAACCCAGGTCGAGGAATCAGGCTTGGAGGTGTACACGCACCCTGGATGAATTAATTGGCAAGAACCCAAGCACAAGGGGAAGGACTGTAGTCACAACTTCTTCAGGGTCCGATTCTCAGCTGAGCGAATCGGTTCTTGCAGATTCACAGCGCGAAACCACTGGGAGCTGCGAGCTGAATCGGCCTCCGAGTCGCTGCTGGAGATGTCACACGTCTCTCGAGATAAAGAAAACGGACCAAGAACCGAAACCAGCACCCGACTTCACAGGTCACCTGAAGCCTTTTAAGTCTCCATGTATGTCGCTATGTCGCTGTCGCCTCCGGACCTGTTGAACCATGCAGGTGGGTATGCACCGTTTGAACCCATCAAAGCCAAGACTTCTGGGGCACTGCTGGTAGCATTCTTGCAAGACTAAAGTAACCTTAAACGATCCCATGGACCCTGAGAACCGGTTTTGGGGGTTACATGTGGTGTGAGTGGGAAAGTATGTTTGCATACTGTTACTCAAATGTGCAGGCTGGACCAAGCTTTCTAGGTGGAACACCTCAATCGTTCGTGCGGGCCCTGGCATGCTGTCAAGTAGCTGCACAGGGACTTCAATGAACTTGTCGATGTATTGTATTTCGGGCACCTGAACCGCGACACATCTCGTCCCTCGTCCCTCTCGCGTGAAACAAGGGGGCCTCAAAGGAGGCCATTCAGCACCTGTCTTGTGTATATCGTAATCAAAGACCTGTGTTGGGTGGATGACAATAGATATTCGTAAGTCTTGGGGATGGGCACCAGTGAAGACATGCGTTTCAGTTTTGGAAACAGACGCAACGTTGTGTGGTGGATGATTAATATATGTGTTTTCACCAAGTAGCCGATGATAATCAAAATCAATTTCCTCATCACGTCTCAGAGGAAACCTTTGTAGTTAGTCGGCCGGCGCCGAGGTGTTCCTCCGCGTGAGATCAACTTCAATCAAAAACCTTATTTTCACCAGCCCTGCAGGTGTTCCTTCGTAAAACCATAGTGGCATACACGAGTTTACTGGCTGTTGCTGATTTACTGGTTTACACAACCCCCAAAAACACCCAGACGCTCCGTGAGTGAAAACCGCCCTACTTCCGGTCCCTACTTCAACCGGATTGGTGAGAAACCCCTGTTCTCCCAGACCCCTCGATCGAGGATTCGGGTCCAGTATATTGGATCTATCAATTCTATTGGCAGGTTTCAGTGGATGATGATGGTTATGATTAATAGTTAATTAATAGTTCATAGTAGTTAGTCATAACTGTTACTGCTAATACAACGCCGCCAACCTATACACATCTAGTTTTCCAGGGGCCCCACAAACCATCAAAAACCTGGTTTTCCCTAGCACAAGACATGTTTTTTGTATGTGAAAACCTTTGTTTTTAATCGTTTGGTTCGGGCCCCTGGTTGTTACAACATTTGAACCCAACCGATTCCAGCCACGAGTCAAATGGGATGACACATTGATCCTCACCTCCACGCTCCGCTGCATGGGCACAGGAACTGGCACCTGGGCAGGTCCCGTGGCAGGAATCCAACAAACCGCGCGAAACAGTCGTACCGTACCTCCGTTTCGATATCGGTTGGAGTGGATTAGGGTGGTCTGGCTACCGAGCCGGAGCTTGGCAGGGAGCCGGATTCGTCATCCATTGCCCACGTGGCTTTGTCCTGAGTCATGTGACAGGATAAAGTTGAGGCCCCCAAAAAGAAACGGTGCACACATGTGAAGTTGGTGCCCCCGGGAGATCCCCAACCAATGGCTTTTGGTCTCTTTTCCCTACCAACCAAGGGGGTCGAATCTTTGCGAGGCCTCCTTATTTGAGCCAACCCCACATGGAACAGCAAAGGAAAGAATCACCACCAGCACCAGCATCCCTCCACTGATTCCCTCAGTTTCCCTTATCATCCCGGCAAGAGACCCCAAACAGTGTGAAGTTCGAAAAGGACGAGTCCGAGGTAGAGCACCCACGATCACAGGGGAAGAGAAAGTAGACGGAAAGTCGTTCGAGGTAGAGCACCCGTGATCTCTACTTCTAGAGGCCTAGAAACAAGGTCGGGAAAGCGGTTCAAGTAGAAATAAAGAGATATCTAGATACAAAACCCTATATATGCCTAGATCCAAAAAATTAGTTGTGAAGGTCTCCAGGTCTAGAGGTCTACAAATCTAGAAATCGAGAGAACGATCTGAAGGTCTATAGAGGTCAAAGGAATTATATAAGAGATCTAAGCCGAGTGTTTCGATGCAAGAGGTCTTAAAATCTAGATCTAGGTCGCGAGGTCCAGGGGTCTAGCGATCTAGAGGTCTTGAGATCGAGAGATATCAAAAGCTCTCTGCTAAAGGCCTAGCGACAATAATAGTCTCAAGGCTAGGGTTTGAGAGGTCTGGAGATCCAGAGGTGGAGGTCTAGAGAGCGCACATATGAGAGCACAATCATCAGAACACGCATCCGAGAGCACGCGTCAGATAGCACAGAATGCGATCTAGAGGTCTTGAGATCGAGGGGGATGATTTGTGTATGGGCAAGCCGACAAAGTTCATCAGTTTCGGATCAAGGAGAAGTGCAACCGGAACAAGTGCTGATAGGAGAGAGGGGGGTAGTGCGATTCCAGCTACAGTGCCTTCCGTTGAAGCCAAGTTGATGTGCCAAAAACGAAAGGAGGAGACCTACGTATAGTTTCCAGCCGGAAAAACCTCGTATGATATTTGCACGGATGCGTGGCAGCAATTCCAACAGACCCAGTGAAGCAGACCCAGGTGAGCAATTGTTAAGTCTGCTCCTCTCGAAAACAGACTGAGGAGTTGCCAAATAGCATCCCTTGACATACTGTTCATTTTCATCTGGGGGGATTCGATGCGCAGGGGCTCTTTTCGCCACCTGCAGAAAAAACCATCCCATATTGCACGACGCCCACGCTTCTGCAACGTCGCAAGTCAACGAGCATTGCTTCAACTGAGTGTGGGTCTCTTGCAGGCGTTGGAGATCCTGGAGCTCTTGCCAACGAGCTTTGCATTGTTCGACAGAAAAGCCGACTCGCCTAACTACATAGGTCCAGTTTGGACGCAAGTGTGGATCTCTTTTCAAGTCAACGAGACGGCAGTCAGCCTCGCCATCCCAGTCAACCCAATTTGCTTCCTGGTTAAGCCGTGGAGGTGCTCGCCGCTTCCTGGCGCAGCCATTGCTGTAGTAGCAACGCATGGCGTCAAAAATTACCTTCGACAAAGGCACGACACCTCTCGCCATGCCACACTCCCCTGGGGTCGAACCACCATGGGTGTTCTGATCCGTCTAGCGGGGAGAGAGGCGCCTTGGCCTTTAGACCACTGGACTCAGCGACAGAGAGTATAGGTCGAGATCACATATTTTAATCAATGCGCTATGACTCAGGCGGACGGCCAAGCCCTACTACAGTGACAGCTGCCAGTCGCACTCCAACAGGCTCTCTGGCTGCAGCGCGAATCCAACAAGTTGCTCCAGCTTTTTGATATCTGCTTTGGACTGGCGAGTGCTCTGTATAGAAGCAAGTCGTCATACAACTGGCTCAGCCATGCTGATCATATACAAAGCAAACGCTTGCACAGAATCACTGGCAATGCTGAGAAAATAGTGATTCCGGTTAGGGGCTGCACTCTGCTTCATCACAACGTTTTGACAAAGCACACAAGGTTTCAAGCCCGCAGCACCCTTTGCCTAGAACGGTTTGGCAATGGCATCGTAATCGCTCACAAGTGCAAAAAGGTTGAGTCCAAAGTGATTTCCTTTGATGCCTGTCCTCCGTAGCCCTTGCGCCTGCTACGACAAGTGAGGGCTCAAGTGACCACCATGCCCGAAAATGCGCACAGCACCACAACGAGAGCGCAGTCGCCACATTTTGCGAGCCTGCGCAGTCGAAATGCACTTCGAGGATTTCGAGAGGCATCAATTAATGTACTGTATAAATAGCTACGAACTAGCCGCACACGAATGACACCTCGATTAGGGACCGGCCCTTAACTATTGCCGTAAGAACCCCTAGTGTGACCACACTGTTTTGGGAACAAGAATAGTTAACCTTGTTCTATCTCTTCTTACCACACATGCGAGCACGCTTCGCAGGCACCAAACATTCTGGATCGAACGCCAAAGGGAGACGGGGTGTTCACACCCGGCAGATGGAAGCCTGCCATCATAACCCAGTACACCAGGCATGTCAATGAAGACGCACCATACCATCCCCCCAAAAGGAACCATGCATATTTGTTGGGAAACCAATCCCCCCCCAAACAGGTTTTGCAGGCGATCCCACTTTTCCTGAATAGGTCCAGGTGCACGTTGCCGACCTGAGGGTTCTTTCAGCCCACTCTGACAAACACACATGGAAGTGGAACATGGGACTCTGGAAGATTGTCCCTGTCCAGTGGTGTCCGTACTTGGGAAGAATAGATGGGTCGGTTTAACTACCATTGACCTATTGGTTGAGGGATCTTGAGGGTATCCTCTCTATAGTAATCAATCAACTCATAGTAAAAGACCATCTATGATACTGGCCTCTACAAACACTAGGGAAAGCCTCTCCACCTCCACCTCTACTTCCGGGGTCCAAGTGTAGGTGGCCGGTCACCACAGAGGTGGTTGTCGGTTCGCTCGCTCCAGGCCCGCCGATGCTTTGACCTGCCCTTCTCACCACGGCCCGGCCCGCCGCCCTCGCACCTGCCGATGCCTCTGCACAGGAACCTGGCGATCTGTTTTTTTTGTCAGATGGCCACCAGCTTTCGGAAGTCGGTGCTGGAGGGTGATCGCTCCAAATCAATATAAAACACGATTCCTTGCTCCTGATTTGAGCAAGTCCTACATTCTCCATTCGGGGGCACTCACTCCCCTTTACTCTTTAAGTGACAGGGACTACTGGGCTGACAGGGTTGAGTCCTCTCCTTTCGAAAGATCCTCTGAGCCGGAGCGAGTCGATGGGAGTATAGAAAAACCAAGTCGAACGTATCATCACTCCTTGCAGGATTTAAACAGTCGGTCCTGGCGGCCAAAAGAGTATTGCATGTCCCGTCCCTCATGCGTCATGTCATGGCAGTAGATATATATATATATACCTGGACCCTACAGTCTCCGATCAACGTACCTGAGAAGGCACGAGTGGATAGACCTTTTTAGAGTAATATATGGTGTTTCAACAAGCGGTGAAACCGAAACCACCAAAAGAACTTCCCTCCTCAGGAAGGTGGTTCCGCCACCTGGAACCCGCCTCCTCTCACCCCAAACACCGCCCTTCTTCAGCCCTCGCCAAACCAAAGTTTTCCAAATAATCAGGTGCTTGGACGTCCATGCGCGTACCAACGGTCCATTGATGTCCACAACCGGAGTACACCTCCGTCAAAAACACATCGCACGATCTCGTATAGTGAGCGATCCGCAATCCATTGGACCTGGATTTTGGCAGTGTCAAATCCTTAGTAAAACTGTGACCTGGAGTATGTGGTCGTTTTTTCTAATGAATGGTGATCTTTGTGGCAAATCCTATAGGCACGGACTTGCGGCCCTTCGAAGCAGCGCTTCCGCCTGGACCTCTTCATCCACGTATTCCACTTGTGGCACCTCCACCGTCCTCCGGAGGCCGTGGCGCTCGGATCGAAAGCACCGACCGATCCCCCGTCCGCTGGATCGACGCGGATCGGCGAAGAGTCGCCCGATGTCTGTGGACTGCCGAGTGGTGGGGGTCTGGGGCGGCATATATATGGCAGTCCCATTAGTCGTCGTGACTGGGGGGAAAGGGATGTTTCGTGGTCTCCCGCCGATGTGTGACACTATGAGTTGGGCCCCACCATGGCCCATCCAAACACCTGGCTTTTCCCAAGCAAACACACGTTTTTGTTGGTGAAAACCTTTAATGACTACAAAAAACCTTTAATGACTACAATAATTCAGAAACAATTGCACACATTCAACAACTTCTCCTGGAGTGGATCCCTGAAGGGCCTTTTTGGAATTTTGAGGGACATTTATGGCCAGTGGTAGCTCAGGCTTGCCCAGCCGGGGGTCAAATTGCTAAGTGCGTGTGGCTTTTCTTCCAGCAACTTCAATGGCGACATCCAGATATGTCGCGTCAAAAGGATGATTTCGGAATGAATCACGTGGTATGAACTTACCATTCATTTTACATCATTTTACGTTATACGCAGGAAAATGTCTTCCTGTTTGGGTTAAACATAAAGATCACCACCATGCCTTGCCGTACGCGTTCGATTCCCCAGAGGTTGCAATATTAAAACCCGAGGTCCGTAGTTTGTGGCATCAGACCCACAACTTTCGTGCCGTCGTCAAATATCTTGAAAGTTCCACTGGACTACACCTGTATATATCCAAGATATAAAGAATCTGGCGCATCCACTATGATTCGTCTTGGATTTCACCGCAGTTTAGTGGGGGGCATGGCGTCTCGACCAAAATTACCTCAGAAAGATTTGGCATTAAAGATTCTCTCAGACTATGCATCTCTGCCGGGCCAACGCTATCCGCTCAATGTTCGTGTCCCTTTTCAATCCTAAACTGGATGCAGCATGTATACCAGACCCAGGCCCGCCAGATATTCCATTCTCCGATAGACACCACTTGTATCAAAGAGTCCCTAAATGTCTCCGCAGCAAGAAGTGTTTGTCCACCCTCTCGCTCAATACCTGAATTAGGAATTTGCACTCTTTTGTGTTAATTCACACCGACATAGTGTGTACTTCCGTGCACGTTTTTGTTGCATAGTTTCTTATGTACATCCTCACCTCATGTACCCCCTTTAAGGGAAGGGCAGTGAGGCGCGACACAGACATGTGCGCAAGGTGTGTGTGTTGGTGAAAACCTGTGTTTTTCATGGTTTGGTTCGGGCCCCTGGTATGAGTGAAGCGAACGTGACGGTGAAGCTGTGTTCCGTCTGCTTTCTGGAAAGGGTGATTGAAATACTTCCCAGACACGACCCATGGGACTGCCATATACGCCGATCAGTTGGGGTGGTTTTGGGGGTCAATGTAGGCATATATGGCAGTCCCATGGAGTGTCTGGGCTTTGGTTGAATGTCTTTTTCAACCATAAGAATCCTTGGGCCCTCCATGAGATGTCGGTTTTTAAGCTGCTGTAGCCGGTCAACTCGAAGAAGAACGTCTGGCAGCAGCATTGTGGCCCCGATGTGGGGCAGTTCAGCGATCCTCCGTCGCTTTGAGCTGAGAGGTTTCACGCGGAAAACTTTGCGGGTCCATTGCCCTTTGGCTGAATGCCGATGTCGCCAGACATCTTCCACCGTCAAAGTCATGGCCTCGAGATTGCTGAGGCAACGGTCATTGCTGGGCCATCCAAACCGAGCTTCCAAGTCATCCACAGGACGCCCATGTGTGCGGCGTTTCTTGCATTGCCAAAAGAGGTGTCGAAGATCTGCCTGCCTGAGCCTCTTCAGCGCAAAAGGGGCACCGAGCAGTGTCGTTGGCGACATCCTTCCGCTTGGCAAAACATGCAGGGCTGACAAAACTGCCAGTCAAAATAGCCACCGTAGCGCCGCTGGTTCTCTGGAGAATCTTGCGCACCACTGTGACCCGTTCCATGTCATAGGTTACGAAAAGGTAGAGCATCACGTCTAGTGCTGGCTGTGAATTTATTCCACTGCTGAAGGCGCCAGCTTTCTCTCAGCCAGTGGGCAAGTGTGTGCTTAAACATGGAGTCCGAAAACTGCTGTAACCGCCAGGCGAAGTCGAAGGCAGGGTGCCTCCACCAGCCGCCCCTTTGGATGTGCCATCCCAACTGAGTCAAGAATTCTCGAGCACTTTGCGCCAGGATGCTAGCGGCATTTTGGGCTGGACTTCATTGTTCTGCCGAGAGCCTTTTGCCCCAAAGTGTCACCTGCTTGACCCCAATGACCACATCGAGGCTGCGAACGGCGCCAAAGAGCTTCTGGTGCAGGTGTTTTGAGCCCGTGCTAAAAGCTGTGCTGGTGCTGCGAACTGTAGCGGTGAACCTGTCCAATTCAGCCGTTGAAGGTGTAAAAGCCACCCAACCATAGCTTGCTTTACTCGCTGCCAGGGAGCGAGCTGCATGCAACTTTGTTTGGTAATCCGTAGGAAGAAAACGGATTTTGGCACAAAGTTTTCCTGCTTCCTCCAAGCGCTGCTGCTCTTTGGGATGGACTTGTCGGGGCGTCCCTGTTGTACAGGAACCCAGGACGCATGCTGAGGTAGTGATGGAAGATTGAAGGTCTGGCCGGTGCTCGAGCTGTTGTTCAAGTGCTTGCCGTGCAGCTTGTGTGTTGTATGTGAGCTGAGTTTTGGCGATGTTCTCTTTCAAGCCAATTGCTGTGCTGAATTGGTGCCATGTGTCCAATGTGTGGAGCAGCAACCGAGGGGTGTTGCTACACCAAGTGCGGTCGTCCATGTAGACCACATGAAGCCTTTCACCAGAAGCGCAAGGGCTTTCTCGCTCCACAAACCGCTGGCCAGCCCACATCAGGATATTGAGGGCAAGTGGAGACATAGGGTCACCCTGAGGGATGGCAATGGATGTGTGTAAAGGATGTTGGTAGCAGCTCTGCCTCCATTGTAAGATCCGCTTTTGGTTGGACCATTGTGCTTGAAGGACATTTGCCAAACCGTGCGGGAGCCCGACCTGTTTCATAGCAGTGGTGATAGCTTCTGGCAGAACATAATCGAAAGCTAACGAATAATCCAAGCTGGCAAGGTAGCCTTTTGAACGGAGGGCATCAGCAAGTTGAGAAGCCAATTCTTCTGTTCCAGCGCTGCCTGGGCCACCGACAATGCTAGGAGGAAGTGTCTGGGTGCGCCAGGAAGTGATCAAGGTACTTCGAGCCCAAGTACTGCTCCACCACCGATAGAACAAGCTGTAGACATTGATTGGACGAAGGTCCTTGGGTGCTGTAGTCCCGTTGTGTACAATGGCTGGTTTTATCAGGTTGATTTGGCGACTGAACTGCAAAGAAGTGGGAATTCGGCCAGCCTGTTCCCAAATGTGGCTGATGTTGCAAAACCACTCATCGACTGGCGCCGGTAACCATTGCAGCTCTTCTGCAATCCAGCCGTCAGGCCGAGCTGCTTCTGCTGCTGCATGACCGGTGTCACCACGACTGTGATCTGGGTGCACCTCCTGACGTAGCATGTGATCCTTCGATGCCAAATCAGGATTCTGAAATTCATTGCCAGCTGGTCGTTTTGGCTTCATAGTTCCTGAATCTGTAGCTTTTCTCTTGCCAAAAACATTCCCCAAAGGCAAACTCATCCTCGTAGGTCTCTGTGCTTGTACTGCTGACACACTGTTCCATACTGCATGATCCAACGTGAACACATTTGCACTATCTTTCTCATCATACACACGCAATGTGGCTGGATTGATCAACCTTTGCATCCGAATTGGTACTTGGTCACCACCACCGGCTGCTAGAGGTGTGTATACATATGCAATTGTTTGCGCATCATCAGGATCAACTGACGTAAATTGTGATGGTCGAAAAATTCCGTCATCAACAACTTCTACACGACAGGGGTCCGGACCCGGTTCCAAATCCCGATGTGTTTGCTTCGGGTGGCTGTGGGTCAAACCTGGAACCAGGACAAATGAATAGAACAAAGCAGTAGGGCTCAAGGAAACATATCAGGGTGAAACGGGCTAAAGGTCTGGACCCACAGCGGTCTCCAGACTGTTTGACACCTTTCGAGACTGGATTGCAGTTTTGTTGGACCTTGGCAGAGGAGTTGCAAGATCACCTTGACAGCTCCGAATTAGGTGATGGGCAATTCCCGTTTCGTCAGGTCGAGCCACCGCTTCTCACCCGCTTCGAATCCGGGAAGGTTTGGTGTCCAAACCCTTGCTCAGAGGTCGGGCCCGAACTCGAATTTCTTAGGGCAGTCAAAAAACATAAAGAACACACCCTCTCTCACCTCAAGGCTACCTCTAGGGGACCCTAGGCTGCAAGGCTACCTATAGGGACGCCTATAGGACACCCTCTCTCACCTCAAGGCAAACCCCTGGAAATCGGGACCCTACTACCCTGCTACAGCACACCGACAGCTGGCCCCGACACCGACAGCTGGAGCTCCTCTCGACGGTCTTGGGCACCTTGATGAAGTTCTCCTTCTGCACGGGGACGTCCACCTCGGGACGTGGATCGATCAAAAGGCCGGCTTCCGATGGCAGTGAGAGATCAGGTGGTGAAATCGTTCTTGGAGCTTTTTGGTGCCAAAGCCCCCGCAAGAACACCCCTCCAGAAGGTGTAATGGCTTGGTTATCCTCGTCCAAGAACAGTTGGCTGGAGTGAGGCTTTGCTGTGAAGTCGGCTGGCCCTCGAACCACTGGGCGGGAGTAGGGTCTATCCTCCTGTTCCAATGAATAATGGTGAATAAGCAAAGCCCTCACCCAACAGCGCGATTGTCTTCTTATCTGCTGAGCCTGAGCCTAGTAAATAGCTAGGACAAACCCAAAATTGAAGCTCCAATATCACCCAAGCACACATATGCCTATAACATTGACCCCAGGTCAACCGCTCTGGCATGGCTAATTGAAGTGGCGAGTCGCTTGGTCAAAGCCTTTCGGTCAACTCGTGATCGGGGTCGACTTGGCCGGGGTCCACGGCCGACTTGGCGACTTGGGATCCCAACAGAACAACGAGCATCTTCGGACATGTCTGTGCAACATGGAACCCTGGACACCCAGTTCAAACCAGAAACCAATAGATCCCCACCCGGACCCTCCTGTCGGGGTGCCCTGTCTGGAAGCCTAGTGCAGTAGTGTGGGGTAGTCCAGCCAGGACACCCCTTGGAGGGTCCTGGTATTAAAGAAGATCAATTGCCATAATGGAACAACCATGTGTTTCTGGTTCTTTGGCTTCCCAGGACCAACTCTTTGGAGTGTGCCGCTCCAATTCCCTAAAGTTTCCTGATATATATATATATATATACAATATACATCGTATATGTGCATGTATGTGCAGTGTTTTGTGGTTCACTCACTTCTTCAAAAAGAATGCTCCTCGCACTCCGCTCCACGCAGTTTTACCTGGCTCGGACAGCCGTTCTCAAGCTCTAACAGGCATGGCGGGGGCTCCCGGGCCTCCCGTTTTCGGTCTCGCCCGCTCCCGCCTTCCCTTCTGCATTCTGCAGCTCGTCCCGGCGTTCGAATCTGGGGAGTTGATGGGTACTTGTTCACCAATCTTTTTCAAGTGGACTATCATGTAAAATACTATATACTGCCATATACTACCCATGCAAAGGCAACCCTGGACCCAACTCATCTGGTCAAGGTTCTGGGGGGTTCTCACCAATTGCTAGTGTTTGAGGATCTTTGAGGGATTCCCGAAGTATGGGAAGTTTTCACAGAGCGTCTGGGTCTGGGGGTCGAGGATTTTTTCTTTCAAATCGCTTAAGAATTTGCTTCAGGCTTAGCATAGTATCAGCCAACTAGTCACCTTGACCGATGGCAGACCGCACCCGGATCGAGTCGTCCAAGCAGCGACGGATCGAGTCGTCCAACCAGGTCGGTCGAAACAACCCTGGACCCACGGGGGGTTCAGTGGTCCTTTTGCGGGCGGAAGGTCAATCCTAATTATACCCATCCCAGGGCCCCCGGAATAAAGGGGTGGTTCATGGACATCCCTAACCTCTAAGGAGCTATAATTGGACACCCCCCTGGCCCTGACTGGGGCCCTGGTATTTGACATTTATGTCTTACAATTGTTTGGAGTCATATATGGCTGCGAATCGTTCTTGAACCCACCCAAGGGGAATACAACGAACCAGTCGTCCGTCGCCGGTGTCGAGCCTCTATTTTCAACTGTTCGAGGTCCCTCCCTGCAATCGCCCTCGACTGGCCACTGGCCGTCAGAGATGTGTTAATTGTTGGACACTCAAACTAATAAGTTGGCGTGTCTTTTAGTGGAGCCATCCTCCATACCACAGAACTCCAACCGGAGTAGCTTCACTTACGAAGACCCTAAAGAAAAGAATCCAAATGGCTGCACGATGGGAGGAGAATCATTCGCTGAACCCACTTCTCCTCTACCAGGCGGAGGTCCTTCCATTTCGATATGACCGGTATCTTGCTGGTTGCAACACATTGTGCACATCTCTAAGGACGGAGTTGCTGAACATGAGAAAAGAACAAGGACAATGAAGAAATATCTTTGAGTGGTGTGGGCTTCTGACGTTCACACAAACCAGTGTTCCTCCCACTGTTCTTCTCTTCTGGGTGGACCGTGAGAACTACTGGGCTCCAATTATGGCCCCAATGATTTGAATACATAACATCGATTAACATCGTATAAATATCCCAAACACTCCATGGGACTGCCATATATGCCGCCCCATTGACCCCCAAAACCACCCCAACTGATCGGCATATATGGCAATCAATCCTATAAATCAAGCAACATGAGTACACTTTCTCAACCACTCACCGAAGTGGAGCACGGTTCGGCCCCTTGGACCAGCATTTTCTTTCTTCCCTAAGAATCGGCTAAACTAAACGCTTGCTTCGGGTGAGGACCCCCTGTGGAGAGAGGTGGAGAAGGTCTGAACTCCTGCCCATCCGGGTTCTGGGGGTGAGTGCCCTCAGCATGTCTGAAGGAGGGTATACAATGACGGCGTGTTTTGTCTTATGTCGATAGATGTCCCATATGCCGTGATATATGCGCCTCCGAAAAAGGTCGGAAGCTGAATCTCCGTGAGTGGTATGTCAGGGATTTAAGTAAGAGGGCCCCTTTGAAGGGACAGCTGTATTCCTGTGTAAAATACCCAGACACTCCATGTATGCCATATATGCCGATCAGTTGGGGTGGTTTTGGGGCGTCAATGTAGGCATTATATATATGGCATACATGGAGTGTCTGGGATATGTGTAGGTAGAGGTAGGAGGACCTACACCCTTGACATCTGGATCGGATTGCTTGAAGGCCACATCTGTGGGCTTCCGTGGCTGATTGCAGGTAATCCTCGATAAATCAATTAGCGATGACCAACAGCTGGCTGCCACTGCCAACAAAAGAAACTGCCGGGAGTTGACCCGTGGAAGTACCTCGGAAAATGAGTACAGTCGTACATATACAAGATGATCATGGTAAGTACCTGCCATGTCCCCTAGGGCTCCAACCATATCCTCAGAAGGTGGTTAGACCCCCCTGGCACCCACCCCAACCACCGAACCTCAGGAGGTGGGCCAGGAGCCCTAGGGGTCACATGTCACTCATGTCCCATGTTCCCAGGTACGAACCAAGATTCTTCCAAAGGAGTTCACCTCCGGAGTGGTCGCTCCGGATGACCCGGCTCCCTGTTAACATGATGGTGAAGAACTGAATACCGGGAGCCCTCGTGCCAAAGCATGAACCACCAGGGATACATCCGGGATACTCGTTGATGGGAAGATGGAATTGCATGCGAATGCCTTCCAGTCCTGCCTGGCCTGGACTATACCGGATAGTAGTGAGCTGGGGGATCTTCAGCCAGTGCCCGAACAGATAGTCCAGGTCTGTTTGATTCCCTCATTGCCCTCCCTCCAACCAGACCGAAGTGGATAGCATGGCGCCTGGGAAAAAAGATGACATCCGATGCCTCCCATACGCATGAGGACGGACCCCATACGCATGGTTGGAGGGTGTCTGTTTGGATCTCGCCCTGAACAGGTCTGGTGCAACAACCAACCAGACCTGTGACCTGTTGTTTTGCCAATATATGTTGAGTTCTTTACACTTTTTGGTAAGCATGTCTGTCCAAAAGTTCCATATACTGTACAATGAAGAACACCCCGGACTTCAAGGACTTCTTATAGAAAAGAGATTGCACTCCCCCAAACCCATATGCCCCAAAGCCGCCATCACGAATTGCCCGTCCGGTCCCTGTCTCCCCAGGTTTGCTCTCTCGGCCGGCGCCGTGTGGTCAAAGCTTGCTCGTGTGGTCATCCCTTGGGGTCGCTACTTAGTTAGCCTCCCCTTGGCCTAGCCTGACTCTGGCTAGGTGAGAATTCAAAATGGTATTTGACCCAACATCCGTCGCTTTACTAAGGATTTACACTAACAACACCGGAGGTCAACCGACCCCCTTCTTTTTAGGTACCGGAAGACGAAAAGCAAAGGCCCACAGCAAAGGTGCCGTGCTCAGCTTCGGCTCGGGAGGAGCTTGCCAGGATTCAGGATCTCGCGCTCGTCCATGGACCTGGACGAGGTGACGAGCGACGGGGTGATCGTCCGGACGGTTCCTGGAAGTGATCGTCCGCCTGATCGGGGGACATTGACGGGTCGATGCCAGGTGCCTGGCTATATATGATATGCCCATAGAAGCACCCGGACCAGACATTTCTGCCTCAGTCCGATCTGCCCGGCAAAAGCCGCTCTTCCCGAATTTCTGCCGAATGGATCTTCTAGGTATGTTACATATATATCATATATGTTACTTCATTACACTCTGGAAAACGATCATCCCATGGATTCTAAAAACCACTGATTGGAGGAAAACAAACTTCCGGAAAAGGGCCATTGTCAGGGTCCATGTTAGTTTTTGGAAGTGTACATATGTTCACTTTGCGGGTATTCCCTCTATTAAATCAACATCAACCAACTAATCGTAAAAGAACCATGCATATCTATATGGATGGGGTGGGGTCTGGGTTCGAGGCTGGTACATTCTGGGTGGTTCTGGAACGGATACAGTTTTTTGGACACAGTGCCAGAATCAGACACCCTAAGAATCTGGGCCCGAAACCAACACTATAGGATTTGGTTCGGGTGCGGACCCCTGCCATGGAGGGCCAGTTCCGATTCTTAGAGCAGTACGGTTTTGTTTACTAGTAGTAACAAGTGCCACGCTAGTAGTAACAGGTGCCTTACTAGTAGTAACTAAGTTCGCTATTAGAAACATCTTAGGGCTGCGAATTGGGGTGACAGTTTCGCATCTTTCCGCCAAAAAAGACCTGCATGCTCCAGTGTCGAACACATCACCATCCCTCAGAGGGGTGCCAGTGGATTTTTGAGGGATACAGGTTACTACACTCCGACTCACTAACATGGAAGTGGAAAACCCACTGTTTGTAGAGGAAAGTAGTCTTCCAAGAGGCCATTTTCCACTTCCATGTTAGTGAGTCAGAGTGTAAGTCAAAAAACTGGACTCACA